AGAACACAACAGAGAGCAACGGACGGAGGAAAAGAGGAAGTCTATTTTCTCCAAGGATCCATTCTTCACTTCAGAAGGCCAGAAATAAACGTGACCTTAAGTCCGACCACGCGTTCACAGCAGGGCCACGAACACGAGCCGTTAGGGGCTTCAGTCCACAGCCAAAGTGTGTGTGAGGGGAAATACACGTGTGCAATAATCGTGGGATGTAACTATGTATATTTACTCAAGTACTGTCCGTTTAAATAACATTTCATTTGGCGGATTCATTTATCCAAAGCGATTTCCAATTAAGTGCAAAAAACAAGAATCATTAGCTTAGCGTAGCGTGCATTAGCTTTGTATTAGTGCTACGTACAGAAGCTTACATGCACGATATTCGACAGGCACATTTATCACATATAGACTTACAAAAAAGTCTCTTGGAGCTATTGTCCAAACCCAACAGGAAGTCGGCTATATTGAATTTAGTGTGACTTTTCCGTATTTTTGGCCATTTTCAGGCTCCGTTATATAACAAGCTCCTCCCACAGAACCTCCCATTTGGTCAGTAACCTCTAAAGACCACCAGGATGAAAAGTTATTAAAAGCTGTAAGATGTTGTAACTTGAGCGTACATTCTCCAAACAGTCAGAAAATGTCTTGTGCTAGATAGGAATTGTGGCCCGAGGACTTTTAGAGGTCAAACATCATCAGTTTACATGACGATGTGTGGTCTCCACATAGAGCCACATCATGTTTCCATTGGACCCACATAGGTTTGCAATATGTCGATTTCAGTGCCATCTTTTTTTTATTTATTGGCCAAGGTGCAGTCGAAATATGTTGGTTTTCAGTTTGCATCGTGCGTTTATATGATATACTATTAATCTACTTTTGAGGAATAACAACTCATATGTATTGTAGTAATATTATACATTAATTAACCACTTATAAAATTGCTATTCCACATAATGAGTTATTTCAAAATTTGATATTTTAAGTACATTTAGCTGATAATACTTCTGTAATTCTACTTAAATAACATTTTGAACTCCTGTAATTGAGTAATTTCAGACTGTGGTACAACTACTTTAACTTGAGTTCATTATCTGGGAACTTTTCCCACCACTGTGTGTAAGAGCAACCTTATATGTGAAAAGAGTATATGTGTGTGGGTGTGTATGTGTATGTATGTGTATGTGTGTGTGTGTGTGTGTGTGTGTGTGTGTGTGTGTGTGTGTGTGTGTGTGTGTGTGTGTGTGTGTGTGTGTGTGTGTGTGTGTGTGTGTGTGTGTGTGTGTGTGTGTGTGTGTGTGTGTGTGGGTGTGTGTGTGTTCCCCACCGGAGACCTGCACGCTCTTGCTCAGTTGGTCCCGTAATAGATGCATTAGCGGAGAGCTAGGCCATGTAATGGAGGTGCCGTGGGAATTCTAGACTCCAAACTCTCCAATCAATGCAGCCGCCGGCCTCACACACCGAGGGAGATCTCGCCGTACACACTTTTTCCTGTCTTACACCATTTCTCTGCTCTCACTTTCTCACATTTAATAAAATCCAGCATGCTTCGTATTGAGTGTGTCACAAAGCGTTAATCACGACGAGGGCAAACACTGTCATTAGCTGTTTTTACTATTCTTCAGCACTAAACATACGCACGCTGTAATGATACACTGCAAATGTTCCTATTCATAGAAGGTCTTATTACACTCTTCTGTCATCACACGAGCCAATCAAGCTGCTTGTGTTGATTCCTTACTTAATGAACATTTCCCCTCAGCCTATCAAGTTCATTTTCTGGTTTCATATTAGTGTCTCTACTGGGACATGTCTCCATGCTTTAATGTCCAAAAAGCTCTTTATTGTTCTCATACTGCCTGTGCTTTAGCACCTCTTTTCACCCTCTGTCTGAAACCAGAGCCCAGTCTGCTCTGATTGGTCAGCTGGGCGGCTCTGTTGTGATTGGTCAACCGCTAAGAGATGTCCCGCCCAGAGGTCGCGTTAACTAAATATTTTCCGTCTATGACAATGACGGCAGATCTGAAAGCAGTCCGTCATTTTGACAGATTAGAACAAACTTGGAACAGCTCCAAAGTTTCCCCGCAGCCATGCCGTGTTATGCATGCCCGCCAAAAAGGAAATGATACCGTTCCCAAACCTAACTTTGCCGTACGAATCATTGAAATGTCTGTGAGTTTTGGCTTTACGCTGTGCAGTGGGCATGCATAACACGGCGCTAACAGTTCCTGAGCGTCCGAACGTGCCCCCCCCCTGTCAGAGTTGTGTAAAGGCCGATGGGTAATACTGGATTTTGACGGAAATGTTACGATCCTGTCCGTCTGTGTAGCGCAACCTCTGGTCCCGCCCTTAGCCTATCACGTACAATGTGTTGGAGTGCTAGCCACTAGACGCCAAGTGTAACATAATTATGTCACTATGTTCTGTAAGTAAGAGTCCAATGGAGGCGTTTCAGACAGGAAGGAGAAACACCCAAAAAGCCTAAGAGGGCTGCTTTAATTTGTTGAATTTATTGTTTGACTTTGGGTTGGTTAGGACGATGCAATAACACGATCAAGGCAGCGTTACACCAGAATCTCCTGTGTGAAGTCTGAATAAGTGCCTCACACAAACCACTTAAACATATCTGAACAATCCCTTTAACGACATGTTGGATCCTCAATGAGGGATTTAGATGGAAGCACATCATACATGGCTCCTTGCTTATATGTGTGTGTGTATATCTGTTCTTTTCAGTGGGCATGCTGACGGTTTGGTAAATATAGAGGGTTGAGCAAGTGCAAAAGAGAAACGGAGATGTGCAATAAAACGGAGAGGCCGGGACAGACGGAGGAGAGGAGAGAGATAATTATATAAAGACAGCTCAGCACTTACAGGTGTTTTGGAAGGTGTGGACCTGCATGTCCACCAGAGGAAATGATTGTCTGAAATTGTACGTCACTGAAGTCTTCTTCTTCTGGAAGATCTTCGTCACCTGAGGAGGAGGAACGAGACGGAGGATTAGAGATAAAAGAGGCAACGTAATTACAGAAAAGAGAATAAAGAAAAGGGAGGAGAAGAGAAAGGAGGAGGCAGAGTTTGATTATGCTAATCTCTATTTGTTTCTTTTGTTCATTTCAAGGTGAGAGGCTTTTAAAATCCCTCAGGGCAACACTTGAATAATTTCTCTATAAACTGTAGACATTATCTCCTCCTGCCTGATTTTTAGTCACATTGTAAATACGATTAAATCAGAATTAAATCACAGTTAGAGTAACTCCGATTTTCCGAGCTCAAACACAAGTAGTTCTTCTCGTGACATTGACTCTACGTGGAGACTTTCAATTATGTATTTAGACCAGAGAGCTTCTGTCAGTACCGTTCTGAATCTCAATCTTAATTCAGGAACACGTAACGAGTCATATTTGAGGCTGGTTCATTTTGATTGCGTTGACCTTCATATGACCTCCGGGTAACAATTAACAGACAATATGTTTTTTCTGCACATGGGTGTATAAAAGATTGAGTTTGGTGGCGTGAAGTATCATGGGATTATGGGAGTGTATCATTGCATTCATCTTTTCCTTGTTAGGATAACTTTATTGTTCATGATGTTCAGAATTACCTGCAGTTGTCTGCTTCGCTACAAAACTAGTAGTGCACGACTACACCGGGTAAATACACTGAATAAAACAGTTTCACCTAAAAAAAATTGTTTTTCCAAAGCAGGTTGGAGGACATGAGTGTCCGCGAGCCAATTTGCTCAATTTGTTTCTCCAATAATGCAAGATCTAGACTTTGAGAAGGTTTTCAAAACAAGCCGAATTACCCGCAGAGTTGCATCCTCTCCAAAATAAACGGACCCAGTGACTGAAACCAGTTAATTAATTAAACAAGTTAACTACAAGTCAAAATCAGTGTATCTCCAATGTAGTTAGGTCGATAAAAAACATCCCAAAAGGGGCTGCGAGCCGAGGTTTTCTCTGCTTGTTTCTCTAATTACATTCGATCCAGACTTTCAGAACTTTTTAAAAAGGGAGCCAAATTATCCACAGAGGTTTCATCCGCTCAAAAATTACGGACCAAGTGAGAAAAACTGCTAAAAACACAGATTTCTCCAATGCACTTTTCCAATGTGGCAGAAGGGGCTCAACCTGTGGATTATCCCTTGTAGACAATGCATGAATTAAGGAAAAATATATCGCTAATGCAGTGTTTGAGGCGATAGAGTGAGTCCCCCAGCCCCTGCAGGCAACATGTCAAAGTGTCCGTGTGCAAGACACCCAAATTGCTCCTAATGGTGGCCAACTGTGAGTGAATGTACGTGAAAGCATTCTGAGAAGTTTCAAAGACTGGAAAAGACTGGCCATATAAACGCAGTCCATTTACCATTTTAACTCCCTCTCGACAGGAAGATTGCAATATTTTCAAGCATTGTTTTGCAAAACGTCTCATTCTAAAACCCTCACAACAACATTAATAAGGGATTAAAGGAGAACTGGCGATGCACCAGTATTACAACATATCCTTTATATTGTTCTGCAGTGCCTGACAACCATTCATCTGGCAGACAGGAACACTGAAACATGAGTTTCACTGGTAACTCTTGTTGACAGGTCCTACTTGGGTTCCCATTTATTTGAATGTTCTGCAATAAGGAGTCAGACTCTGAGAGAGGGTGACAGTTCTGGAGCGCAGCATTAAACAGAGCCGGGGATAAACTGGAGCTCTGTGACGCACAATCATTCATCTCACATCGGGAGAAGATCCTCGGGCTCTGTGAGAATGAGTTTCCAAAACTTATTCCGAAATACTGCAGTAATATAAACGCACGCGCACGCGCAGCACGCGACCCACGCACACGCACACACAGACACTGAACATACACACCACCACACACCCCCAACCCACACACACACACACACACACACACACACACACACACACACACACACACTGGAGTGTATTATTACCATCAGCAGGTCGTTGAACAGGAAGACTTCTCTCTGATGGACGCCGCTCCTCTGACCTCGGTTCGGATCGGGAACCTCGAACAGCTGACAGCAGCAGACCAACCTGCGATGGGCCAGCGACAACACCTGCAACACACACGGAAAACATGAAATTACGGTAATGTGAAGCCACATCATCCCCTTGAGTCATTTGGTAGAGCAGGAAAATAACTCCTTGTTGATCATCTGTGGTCGGAATCATATTGTGATTGAGTAACTCTAAAATGACATCAATCGTATGTGTTTTGTTTAAAATAGTGGATTTGCTATCTTCTAATCTATCACTTTGTTCTATATACATATGTATTTAAGCAATAGCTCACGACAGCCGTGGTATATGCTCATTATATCACAGCTAAGGGGCGGACGCGAAACTGTATGTTTTGTACGTTTGAACTAGTAGACGGCAGAATGCTTCGATACGTATTTGAGGGCTTTTTGTTCAGATTTGAAAACATCGCTGTGCTTTGTCTTGTTCATGAAGGCCAAACTGTATACAGTTAAATCAAACGGACTTGTTTGTGCAGATGTGAGCGTCCTTAACAACGGTCAATAGTCCTTGACAGCGGTCTGTCTGTTCGGTATTAACAACGTGTCACGTGTCACAAATCGAGTATTGAACTAAGCCATGTAATAAATCGATTCTGATTGGTCAGTTGTTAAGGACGCTCACATATACACAAACAAGTCCGTTCGATTTAACTTAATACAGTTTTGCCGAAAAGCAACAGCATGCAGTTTGCTTTTCTAACTGACAAGACAAGAGCGACAAGAAAACAGCGGAGAAGTAACGGACAGAAACCCTCCTTTTTACGCAGGGTCCAGACATAGACATCAAACGGCGAACATATTCACAGCGCGTTGCTACGTTAGTTCAAACAGTAACAACGGACTATTTTTCTCAGCGGATGCATGTCAATTTAAATCAATACATACAACTATTTTTTAAATCAATACAATCATTTTCTAAATCCATAAAAGCATTTCAATTAATATTGGGAGTCATAACGTTACTTTGTTGAGAATGTGGCTGTGTAATAAGCGGGATAATGTGCAGCGACTGGTCATTATGGGAAAAAACACCTTCATGCCGAACTAGATCCCTCCGCTTCGCGTCGGGCTCCTGATCAGCCTGTCGGTGTTCTTTTCCTCATAATGACCGCGTCGCAGCACATTATCCCTTACATATATACTGTGACCTCAAAAGTTTGAAATTGAGAACCTGGTGAGCCTGAACTAGATGACAGGTGTCTAAAGATAACATTATTTTAAAGCCAAAGTTACCAACGCTTTAATAAACTTTCCGATGTTAGTTCCAGGCTCTTACCGGCTTCTTCCCGACCACCATCCTCTCCACCGCCTGGACCTGAGACACGTGGTCGTCGTTTGTCCTCAGCTCCCATTTCTGGATGCGTCCGTAGATCCCCACCAGCAGATCTCTGGGGATGTCCTGACCGTTATCAACGCCTGAAGGAGAAACACCGGGTCAGATTCAGGAAATTATAACATGCATAACAACAAAAGGATTAACAAAAAGCTCTCCAGTTGATGTGGCACACAAAGAAACAAATCCAACCTGTGAGTCAGATTTGAGGTTAAATTGTTTTATTACCTGGCTCCGTTACTTCCATCTTTTAAAAACTTTTTATTGATTGTTGTGTTTTTATTCAGGTCTTAATGTGTGCACATGTACAAATGTGAATTTGATTGTGTATATATACTGTAGGTATATATTTGCACACATATTTTTTATATACATTTCTTTTTGTAAGGGAAATTCTGCAGCAATGGAGAGTCAGGACTCTCCACAGAGAGACACGGGAGAGTTGGAGCTTTGATGTCAAACAATGATGTTTATTACAAGTCAAACGGCCGGAGAATTCATATCACAAGTCACAGCAGCAAAAGCTACTAGAGTCAAATCCACATATTGGGGATGGGCGTAAACATCTGCAGACACAGGAGACGTCTCTCACATCTGTAGAGCTTATGTGCCCACCAGGTCAGGCCATAAAACCTAGTATCAACATACGACTGCATTAACACGTTCCTTACGGAGATTAGAAGCAGGGATGTTTGTCTGTGTTAGCGTGTGTGTGTGTGTGTGTGTGTGTGTGTATGTCTGTGTTAGCGTGTGTGTGTGTGT